AGGAGCCTTCGTACAGGACCTCCACTCGGCCCTGACACCGGTCACTTCCATTCACCAGCATTAGCTCCAAACTTGAAAATGTCCCTAAGAGGTGACACAATAAGGCACACAGCTGAGATGTTTGACAACAGCAACAGATTCATCGTGCAGAGTCAATCCTCTTGAGGATGTGGACAGTGATCCTTTCCTTCCTTGGGCCCCAGGGACTGTGCCGAAGGAGCGACACCCCTGTCCTCACCTTCCCTACGTCTGCACGATGCCCAGGCCAGCTGCCCACTGAGAAGGGAGCCTTTCACACCACGATGGCCTCACTCTGCTCTGCTCCCTCTGTGTCCTACACACCAGACCTCTCATTCGATGAATGTACTCTCCTCCCACCAGGCATCCCACCGCAGAGCCATGACGGCCACGTCAGCCTGCACGTGTGGCCGTCAGGGTGACCAAGCTGCACTCAGAGCACCACCCCTCCTGAAACAGGGCACCTCCCACTCCCTCCTTGGAGAGGACATTGAGGGCTTGGGAGATACTGCATGATTCCTTGACCTATGGACACTGCCTAGACTTCCCAACCAAAGTGTGCTCTGAGAAATTTCTGGAAAGACATTTGATACCAATGTTCCCAGCCCCTACCTTTCTCCAAACTCAAGCAAACCCTTCAGCATACGGGATGCAGTGACTTGTAAGAATGATGGGGAGACCTACCTGTCTCTGCTGTAGGTAAATCTGTACCAACTGTGGTCTCTGAAAAGAAAAGAGGACACAGAACAAACAGGTCAACCTGACTGAAGAGGGAGCCAGCCCATTCCTACCGAGGCCGTGGACAAGCTCAAGTGGCCACCATGCTTTCACGTCAATCTAGCCTCCCCGTTACAACTGTGGACGTGCTGAGCACTGCTTCTCTACAGCTCACTTAGTCATGAAGCGATGGGTTGTGTGCAATCAACACATGGCCTTGAACTGGCCTTCAAGTTGGAGTCTTTCTGCATCAGCACCTGCCTGCCTACTTCCTCTGTAACCCTCTCCTCCGGGTACTATGAGACCTTCCGAAGTGTGTTCTCTTGGGGTTAAATCAGGGAGGTACCAGTATATGGTCCAGGAAGCCATGGTGTACACGAGACCCCACTGGAGACACAGCGTGTTCTACATGGTTTGAATTCCTCATCCAGTTTAGTGCTCACAGCTTTATTTTCATGTCCACCTTTGCTGATTACGTCCCTCTCAAGCATCTTATGAAAGTGAGATGGGAAGATGAGCACAGAAACCTCCTCTGTCTCTAAATCACACAGTGAAGGTGTCTTCATTTCTTCTCAGAGAGAATTTTAAAACACTAGCTACATAATGTTCTTTTGGGAGAAAAAACGGAATTTTAGTGCACTGGGAAATTGGCTAGGGAATGTATTTTCTTTCTGTCTTTTTCCTCCATGGCCCTTCAGAAAGGTGATTCCATTTGGGAACCTTGCCAACTAAGAGACTCAGAACAACCCTTGTGACAAAAGTCGGGGTTAGGAAAGTGGGGTTGGAAAAACGTGGACTGGGCTCACGGTAGCGTTCCGAGACCTTCGGCTAGAAAAGAGGCAGTGAGTTTTGAGTAAACCTTGCTGAGTGGGAGAGAAGCAGCCTCATCCAGAGAGCTGGCAGCAAGTAACGTCATAATCTGGGGTGCTGGGAACAAGGGCAATGAGGGGGTCAAATATGTTTTTTTAAAAAAGACGCTTTTTTGATGACAGATGTTTCTTTGGTAAAACTAGTACACTAAATCTGTCTAGGCAGGCATGGACCAATGGGGATTCATTTTTTAAAAGACAATGTTTGGGAATGATAGTGTAAATGGAAGAATGCATGAATGCAGTGTATATAAACAGAACACTACGTACAAGACTTTTGTATGTAAACCAATGGAAAATACAATTTTTTTACAAGTTAAAGAATATCTGTCTAGGGCTAAGGGCATAGACCATGTCGGTGCTCCTCTCATACACAATTCTTGGCTCAAGTAAGGTTTCAAGTGGAAAAGAGCTCCCTGTCGAGGGCTGGGGAAGTGACCACAGACAGAAGGGAAACTTGCGATAAGGCCCGGAGCTCACCTGGGATCTCTGTGGTCGTACTCAGGGAATCTGAAAGAAAAGAAAAGTCAAATCACTGCACTGCATTGTGCTGCATTACTTTGAAAAAAAAAAAGCCAAGATTGAAGGAGCTAGTGGGTGAGAAACTATCACTGCTTGTTGCCTGTGAGGTGACACTGTAAAAACCAGATTCTGTCTACTTTTCCCAACTTCAAAGGGATTAGCTTTGCGTATGAATAAAGCACGCTGGCTCAATAGATCCACATTACTCCCCTTTGCACTTCTGGGCAATTCACAGAATCTCCCCAGCTGTGGGAAATGATGAGCTCTGCCTGGCACGTCACCTGGGAGAATCTGTACTTCGCACACCAGTGGGCACGGGGCGCTGCAGAGAGTCCTAGACACCCTCGTCACCTGTGTCTCGGGTCTCTACACCATCCACACTCATAAGTGGCCTGCTGCCTCATGTGAGTCTTCAATGACACACCCTGACTCAATACTCAAGCCTTCTTCAGGGTCACCCATCCCTTCTCCTTGCCTGGGTGCACACAGAGGCTGTGGGGGCTTTTCCCCAAAGGTTCTCCACATGCCCTCTGGTCCTTCAGGAATCAGGGAAGCCCTGGCTTTTCTCTTATGCCTCTTTCTTATCTGTCCCATTAATTAGAGAAAAGAAAGAAAAGTTGATTGCTGCTTTTTTGGTCATTATTCTTCTTAGCCACTTCAACACCTGACAGCTCAAGACAGCTCAGGAATTGAAGAAAAGGTCATGAATTTCAGGGAAACAGGAAATGAGCTACAGAGAAGTGATAAGAATACAAGAGCATTTTCTTCCTGGTCAATGCACATTCTTAGAGACGGGGTCCTGGAGCCCACCTGAGCA